TGTCTTGGACTCTCACCACACGTGTGAGCATCTGAGGGTGGGCGCTTTGGCTTACTTCACTTTATAATGCCAGCACCGAGCCAATTACCTGGCACATCATTGTTGGTTAATCAATACCCGTTTGAAAGAATGAGTGAGGGAATGGAAAATTCTAACTATGGGTGATCTCTAAAGATCAATGGAATAACATTCCTTTCTTCAAGAAGGCAGAATTAGCAGAGAAGTAAAATATAACACGGGTAGGTGGTTTGACAAATTGTGTAAAATTAGTTGGTGAAGCGTCAGCCTTCTCATAGTTGCCACTGCAGTAAAATATCTAGGCAGAGGATCGAGGTGTCGCTGCTTCCCTAACCTCGCTCTCCAAAAATAGTCCATGTTCAGAAATGTTAAAGAAATAAGTTGACATGGTGGTTGTTAAAATTACTGTGAAAAGACTATGTGAACCCCAACACCACCCTGGGAAACTATGTGGTAAGTAAGCATGTGGCAGGAGGAGATCTTGGGATGTACGTGTGTAAAATTTTTTAAACATCAGTACAAAAGACATGTTAAGAGCTCAGGTGTGAAAACTACCAGCTTCCCGCTGGTAACCACTCCCCTTAATTATGCCTTCACACAGATCGCTTAGGAAATGACAGGATTATATTTCCGAAAATTCTCTACATGCAATGTGGCATCTTAGCTAGGATCCTGGGAAGGGCAGAAAATCTGGTGAAATCTGAATAAACTCTGTAGCTGAGTTAATAGTAATTTACCAATGTTAGGGTCTTAGTTTTGACAACTGTCTATAGCTGCATGAATTGTTAATATAACATTATGAAAAACTGGGTGGAGAGTGTTATCTATGCAATGGTTTTATGAATCAGAAATCATGCCAAATAAAAATTGTATTAAAAATAAATCCCAATTCTGGACTCTTATTTCCACAACATACTGGGGTCAGTCTGTGATTCAATCATCAGTGGTCAAACTGCATGACTCACCCTCCCAAACCCCTACCAATAGTCAAGCCTCATTCCCCAAGCCTGGCCCAGGCCCTGGCCTCTCTCCCCTGCACAGCTGTTCTTGTGGTTCTATTATTACTATTTAATGCTATATTGGGCTTGTCTTTGCTAGTCCTTTCTCTGACCTTAGTTTGCTGCATAGATGACTTTGTCTCCACATAAACACCTCACAACCTGGGTAGCATGCTGCCCTGCCCGCCTACCCATCTCTCTCTGTTATATTACATCATCTTGTTTTAATGTCTTCCCAGCATTTAGCTTCACTCACTAGTTGACCTGATTAATATCTGTCTCTCCTTCTCTAGGCAGTAAGGTCCCTAGGAACAAGGATCTTGCTTGTCTTGTTCACTGTTGATCCCCAGGGCCCAAAGCAGCACCTGGTACAGAATAGATATTCTTTTAAAGTAATAAATGAGTATATTTCTTGAGAGAAACATTTCTGTTGTGTCTTCTGGACCCTGTCCAGTTTGTAGAACCACTGCAAAAATAATGACTCGGAGAATTGTGGCGATGATCCCTAAAATGATGTCTCATTTTCACATCCATCAGCTCACTAAAGAAGACGTTTCTTAAACCCCCGAAAACTGCTTGGTCCAATGCAGAAATACGGAGAACCAGAGTCTGATCCCAGAATTCAAGCCACAGGAAGGGAGCAACACCCCACTTATTTACAGTAATATATCACTTTTTGAGTGATTGACCTCATAGAAAACAGCAGTTGAAAGTTCCCAGAACATCACTTCAGGAGTCCTGAGGCAGTGATTAGACAGAGTCAGTTATTTTCTTCCTCAAACTCCAAGGGGTTTGTGAAATAGATAGATGTCTTTTCCCAGTGACTTGAGGGATTTTATTTTGAATGAAAAATAAACTACTCACAAATCTGATTTTTACTTTACAAATAGTTGTCTAAGGTTTACAGATTTCAAATAAAATTGGAAGAATAGTATGGGTAAGGCACGGCCCACATGAAATCTAAATGTTGCTGGCTGGCAGGTAAAAGGCAGTGCGTCCATTTCCTGCTCTGCCTGTTGATAGCTCTGTGCCTGAGCACAATGGGTGTCAAATGAAAGTCTTCATCCCCAACCCCATCTCTTCTCAGAGCAGGGTGTTGCCCAGATATGTGCTTTCCTTATCAATACTGCGTAGTTTACCATAGTTGTCTAAATTTCTATGTTCTCTGTGTAAACTCTGTAAGCCCCATGCAGAAGAGCTACATTGACCTTATCCACCATTTTATTCCCAGCACTAGCACACGCCTATCACATACTCCTAGCATAAATATGCTTAAAGAGTCATTGCTAAACAAGTGAACAGTTGGCAGATGAATGTATTCTGAGGCATGAGACGTCTGGGATGGGGAGCCCACGTAAGAAGTAATAAAGACGTAAACATATACTGAGAGATACTGGGATGGGCTCTAGCAGTGAGGGACAACAGGACATTCAGAGGCACATGATTCGTCCCCACCTCCCCAGACCTCACAGATACTTTCTGAAATACAATTTAATGATACGTATTTGCTTACCAGACCTGGTCTCGAAAATTCACTTAGTTAAAATAACTCCCACCCCCAATTTTGAGAGTTGATCCAAGGTTATCATCTCTCATTCCTCTCCTAAAAATCCGGAAAAACTGACATCAGTAGCCTTATATATGGCACTTGAAAGGCATTGATCCCTAAAATAAATCATTTCTATGCACCAAAGGGACCAGCTTTCCTGATTTGAACACCTTGAACACCCCAAACTGTGGGTTCTGTGGTCTTATGGAGATGATTCTGCCAAACCTCACTATTAACTGGAAAAGGTCACACTATAGAGAGAAGGAACTATCTTCTACTACTACTAAAGCATTCTCAGACCCACATATTTAAGTTACAGCAGAAAGAAAATAATAATTTTCAGCACTTTTTATATGGAAGACATGCCAGTTGTTGCATCTAAGAGTAGTGGGTGTGAATTTTAGTCACAGGCCTAATACTTGGGTGTGTAATCACATGACTATAGATGTAGAAGTAGATATGTATTATGTGTCTGCTTTTTTATGTGATGGTCAGTCACATGTGGCTGCAAGAGAGGACACAGGAGAGGCTCAGGAAAACAAAGATTATTATACTCACAGGTTGTAGAAACTGGAGGCACACCATACCATGGGAAAGCACCAGCATCTGTTAAGAGGCAGAAGGAACAGGACCCCGAGAACAGCCAAGACCATGGCCTTTATTGAAGTTCCATTGGAAAAGGCAAGTCAGGACAGGGTAAACAGTTTAAATTACATGGGCTAATTTAAGTAATTGAGGAGGGCTCTAAACTATTGGAGGGTTCCCTAGTTGCCAAGTACCTGGCTTTGGAATGATTAAGGCAGAGGAATATTGCTTGCTAGGGTGCACTGGCCAGATAAAGAAATTATGGCTCTGGATGGGCATTGGTTCAAAACCACAGGTCTCCCAGAGTGAAATCTGAAACTAGCTCACCCACATAGAGCAGGGAGAGACTGAAGAAAAAGGCAGACCACTCCAGACTGGTAGGTGGCAGGTTCACTAAACAAGGGAACTTACTCACAGGGCTTGTCTTAAATGGCTGGAAAGAGTAGATCTCTGCACCCACCCAGCGGAGTCTTAAAAGTTTATATAGTGTCTTAATGGGGTTCAGTCACTTACACCATCCAGATGGTCTCACAACACATTGCACTCTCAAGGCTTCGTCCTTGAAAATACTTCCCACTGTGGAAATTTTGAACAGGCTAAGTCTTTCCCTAACTCTAAGAACTGGCTCGTCCTTGGAGGAAAAATCTTTCCCAAGTGGAAACAATCATCAACAATCTAGGCACATCCTGATGTATTTGTCTTAGTTTTCCAACCCAGTTCAATGGGATTTCTGTCAATTCATTCCTATTCTGTTTAAACTTCCCCCAAGTTTCTCCCTCTCCCTTCTTCCCTATGATCATGACTAATCCCCATCAACTCTTTGCCTGCCTCTCCAAGTAAACAATAAAAATAATGCAGGTCTCAATGACACTTCTCTTTATTGTTCAGCCCAAATTGGCTACTGCCAAGAGGAACTGAAGCAAAATTTTCAAGAAAAATATCTTCTGTATGAACTATCCCAATTTTTTCACAGTGGTAACTTTTTAAAAATTAAACACTCTATACATATACCCCTCCCCCCATTAAAAAAAAAGTAGATAAATAAAATAAAATAAGAGGCCTACTAGCTAGCCATGCTGTTCTGAACTCCTAGAAGGTCCATGGGTGAGCTGTGGGGATTTATAAACCTGTTTTTCAAACTGCAGCCAACCCATTAACGCCGCCATGAAATTAATGTAAAGCCATAGTATCAAATTATCTTTGGTTAATCCTCACCTGAGGATATTTTTTTCTTTTTTTTAATTTTTATAGAGAGTGGAAGGGAGGGAGGGAAAGAGAGAGAGAGAGAGAGAGAGAGAAACATCATGTGAGAGAATCCATTGGTTGCCTCCCAAGTTGCCCCCTCCCCCACAGGTACGGATTGAATCTGCAACCCAGGTACATGCCCTTGACCAGGAACTGAACCCTCAACTCTTCGGCCTCGGGCTGAGGCTCTAACCACTGAGACACACAGGCCAGGGCATAATGTGAGTTTTTAATGGCTCAGAATAGAATATGTATGATGGAATGAATGGAATGCAAAGAAAAATATGAGTGAAATACAAGATTAAGGGTGTTGCTTTGATCAACGTTATATTTATGTGACTATGTGTAAACTGGAGACTTCCTCAGGCCCTCCATTGGGTTCTTCCTTCTCCTCTTGGGCCACTCAAACTCGGCCAGGACTCCCAACCCCTTAGCTGTCCTGCCAGCTCTGGCCGTGTGAACCCGGCGCAGGCGCGGCCGCCAACCCACCAGGAGGCGCTGCACACAAGCCGTTCGCAAGGGAAGCATTTCCACCCGGGACATATTTTCGGTGCACAGGCCACTAGCGTTTCCTGTGGCGTGTTTCCTGCCGGCCGGCCGCTCCGTGCGGCCTGGGAGGAAGTCACGTCACCGCGGAGTGGACCGGCCGAGCAGAGGCGCCGCTCCGAAGCGTTTCGTCAACATGGCTCACCTGCCGATGAAGCTCCTGCGCAGGAAGATCGAGAAGCGGAACCTCAAACTGCGGCAGAGAAACCTGAAGCTACAGGGTGAGATGCGCGAAGTTGCGGGCCTCGGTTTGCGCGGGAGCCCACGCTCGGGCCGAGGCGGCCGCGCTGTGGCTCGGGCCGCGAGCACGTGTGCTTGTGGAGCGTGGAGAGGCGGGTGCCCACTCGCCCGTGGGCTCACCGCTGCCCTGAGCGTCTCTGTCTCCTCTCTGAGCTAAAGCCTCTGGGGTGTCCGTCCAGGCGCCGGGGTTCTTCCCGCTGCAGCGGCCGTTTCCACCCGCTGCCCGTTCGGGCTCTCGCCGCCTCAGCCCCCACCTCCTCCCCCCTCTCCCCCGTTTCCGATCGGACACCTGGAACTCTGTCTCCACGCACCTGGCTTTTACGTCATCTACTCGGTGTCTTTATTTCTTTAAAAGCAGCTCATCGTGGCTCTTTTCACAAGCTTTCCTTCCCCCATCGTGCGCCCGCTTGCTCTACTCTCCTACTGTAGCCCTTGCACGTTTACAGCTTCGGAGTGCCTCCTGCCCACGTCCCTCCATGCCTCCAGCCCTGTCTTCCCATCACCTCCAACTTTAGTTTATAAATCCCTTAAGAGCTTCTACATAGTTGCATCTTTCACAAAGGCACCTAAAAAGGATTTTACCTAAATGTCACCTTACTTACCTACCCCATTTGCAGTCCTAACGCCCGGACGGAGCGCCGGAAGTCTTGAAGTTGTTCTGATTAAGCTTTGGGGGCCCTGTGTACTTCGGGGTAAACCTGGGAAGGCCATTTTTGAGGTCTCGTGCCTTACCCCAGTCAGTTTTCAACAGAGGTTAGTCGATCGCAAGAAATCCTGGAGGAGCAAGGTGTGTGGGTTTTAGAAATAATGGTTTTGAAGTTCCCTTTTATCTCCAGTTCTTATAAAGCATTACTAACTACTGTACTTTCTGGTAGTAAAGGTAATGACAAAAATAAAATACGGTGTTACCATTTTCTGTATATAAACATGGAAACTTCTGTAAAGACATCTTCAGATATTTTATATACATAACTATTGGGGCAAATGAGTGGTTTCATCACCAATTTTCTGTTCACTAACATCTAGGAAAGTTAAGGGTGAATGTTTTAAAGTTGTATTTATATGAGAAGCGGTACTTGTGTGAATAAGATGTAAGTTTTAATATGTCTGTTAGTCACATACTTATCAAACACCTAATATTAAAATGTATATTTTGTAACTATCATTGTCTCGCCCTGGCTGTTTAAATATTTAACCTCATGAAGTTTTCCTATCCATCCCAGACCTTTAACTCTTAAGGACAGAGATGGTTTTCTGAAGTGAAGAAATGCAGCTTTCACTTTTCCAGGATTTTTTCTTAAAGGAAATTGACTTGTCTTGTAGTGCAACACCATAAAATTACAGGGTGGTTTTGAAAGAATATAGTTTATTGATTTTTTTTTAGAGTGAAACATTGATGTAAGAGCGCAACGTCAGCTGCCTCCTGCACGTCAATGGAGCTGGAAACCTGGCCATGAGCCCTGCCTGAGAATCAAACCAGCAACCTCCTGGTGCCCAGGAGGACACCCAACCAATGGAGCCACACAGGCCAGGGTGCAAGTGGTTTTAATAATGTACAGTAGGCCCTCGAATAATGTCATTTTGTTCAGTGTCGTTTGTTGTAACATTAATGAGATGCCATAGGAACTTAGCTCTCATTTGTATCTATTAGTCTGTGGTAAAACTGGTTTCCGTATATGTGGTTTCACTGCAGTTCCAAGAACCTGTCAATGATATTAAGTGAGGACTTACTATATGTGAAAGGGAAGTAAAAGCTAAATCATTTCAGTTGTGGAAGTCATGGAATTTATCATTTGATATTCCATTTTTTCAAATTAAACTTCCCCCCTTCTTTGTTACAATGTGTTCTGTTTTTAAACAGGGACCTTGGATGTGAACCTGTCAGAAACTCAAGATGAGGATGTATCTGAAGAAACAGTAGGAAAAATTAAAAAGTCCCTAAAACAATCTATGAATGGAGGCTTGTCAGAATCCCAAAATGGAGATATATCTAAAGGAACAGTGGGAGATGGAAAAGTTAAAAAATCCCTGAAGCGGTCTGTAAATAAGGGCGTGTCAGAAGCCCAAAATGCAGATGTAGCTAAAGAAAAAGTGGAAAATGTAAAAGTTAAAAAATCCCCCAAGAAATCGGCCATATTAACGAATGGGGAAGCAGCAATGCAGTCTCCCAGTTCAGAATCAAAGAAGAAGAAGAAGAAAAAGAAAAAGAGAAAAATGGTAGATGATGCTGGGCCTGGTAAATTCTTCATTTTCTTTGAATTTAAGCCTTTTAAACTGTTTTTCAGTTATTATTTTTTCTTTTCCTTTCTCTGTTATTATTGTGCCCACATGACATGCAAGAACCCCCTGTGCTCGCTACTATACCAGAAACTATCCTGGTGATGTTGGGGGAGGGTGTTGCTTATATTTTAACTTCTCAAAATATTGAGCAATTTATCATGGCTTTACCTTCCCTGACAACCTTGAATAAAACCTCACACTTACAGAAGAATCTCCTTAGATGTCTAGAAATTTGCTCTTCTGTTAGCTGATAAACAGAACATACTGTGGCATAGTATTTTAGGTTTACCTGTTTACAAACAACTGTGGAGTTACTGGGACTAAAGAAATCCGGTTGGTGGTAGAATCTACCTTCTCGGGCCCTTTGCATTAATGATTCTTTTCATTTACCTCTTTTTTGCCCCGTTCCTTTTTCGTACCATAAGTTCCTCCCTTTTGAAAAAAGAGTTAGTGATAATTTGAATGTGCAAAGTGTATAAAATAGCAATTAGGAAACTTCTGAATGAATGGAACATTAATTTCCAAGTGAGATGAAGGCCAAGATTGTATTGAGGAGGAGTGAAGTTTGTTGTGTGTGTTTTTTTTTAAGGTGATTGGATTTGAGTAAGCTTAGGTGGAGGAATAGCCATTGTGATTGAGGCCAAAGCAGGCAGGGGTTGCAGGGGAGGGTGGAACAGGTGTCAGCCTTCCGCCTACTTTAGTAGGTAAAGCTTTACTGGAACGCTGCACACCCGAGTGTTCGCGTGGTCTTTGTGGTGGCAGCACATGGTCTACACAGCCGAAAGTGCTTGCTTTCTGGCCCTTTAAGAAACAGTTGTGCCAGCACCTGGGTTAGAATTCCCTATTTATCTGTCGTATCTGAAATAAAGCTTACATTTAGAAAAGAGCTTTGAACTTTTCTGAACATGTGCGGCTATCTTCATTCTGCCTACAGACTAATGTAGTTTATGAGAAATTTCTTAAAGCTTAAAACAAGATAGAGAAACGCATGAAGATAAGACATTACAGTTTTTATTTAAAGTGATTGTACTAAAATTATTAGTGCCTTTAGGATTCTTTTTTTAAGTATACCTGAGGAAGTGATCTGTTTATATTCTTAAGCATTGAATTACAGATTAGACCTATTGGTAAACTTTAAGAACTGTTTTAAGGAAAACAAGTAATAAGTCTGAAGAGCCCGGCTGGTGTGGCTCAGTGGTTGAGCGTCAACCCATGCACCAAGAGGTCACCGGTTTGATTCCTGGTCAGGGCACATGCCCAGGTTGTGGGCCTGATCCCCAGTGGGGGCATGCAGGAGGCGGCCAATTGATGTTCTCACTCATCGATGTTTCTGTCTCTCCCTTCCTCTGTTTCTAAATAGTAATAAAGAAAAAAAATTTGTTTAATAAGTCATGAAGACCAGCTGGTGATATCCATGGCTTTTTGACATGTGGGTCCTGCAGAACTGACCATTTCCCAAAGGGGTGGTAGTAAAGTCTAAGGAAGAGGCCAGTCCTAGGCTGCAGAGTCCTGTTCTGACTAGCGTGGTGCTTAATCCATTTGACCCAGAGGAACACTGGGGAGTGTGATGAAAGTTGTGAATATGAAGTAAAGAGCCAGAGGCCTTGCCTTTGCTCCCTCACCACTCACTCAAGGACAGGCCAGTTTTCTGTCACCCAGCTAAATGGGTTGCTGCTCCTGCTTTGTAGGGTCTTTAGGTCACATGGAGAACCTTTGGTATTTCTGTTCATATTTTTTAAAAAATTAGCTTTTATAGCCATGGTGGAAAATCAGTGCTTGTTAACATTAATGACATGCCCTTTTTTTCTCAGTGAATTATCTGGAACTTGGTGTAATTAGAATACTTAAATATTTAGCTAGCCTTTTTAAAAATTGGTTACTTAATATGGTATAATACAAAGTTTTGTTGGCAAATCTGCATGTCCCTCTGGGTTTTTTAATATAACCAAATCTTTAATTATGAAAAGAGACATTCTTAGCAAATTAAAACTGGAAATGTGTTAAGATTTTGAAAGTACGCCTCTTTGCATCACACATCCTTTTTTTTTTTTTTTTATCCTCACACGACATATTTGCATTTATCTTCAGATAGAGAGGGGGGAGGAAGAGAGAGAAACATCGATGTGAGACACATTGGTTGCCACCCACACGACCCCAACCACGGCCGGGGACAAACTGCAACCAAGATACGTGCCCTTAGCAGGAGCCAAACCCAGGACTCTCTGGTCCATGGGCCAATGCTCTAACCGCTGAGCCAAACTGGCCAGGGCACATCACACATCTTTTATTTTGTGATCATGTTTGGTACTTTTATTTGAAGAGAAAAAATGGGGTTTTGTTCTTTAATACTAAAGATACCAAAAAAGCAAAGACCGAAGACAAAGTAGAACCTGAAGAAAGTACCCAGGCCCTTGAAGAAACAGAAGACAGTGTGGAGAGGCCAGGCGATGAAGAAGAGGACGGCGAAGTGCCCAGCCTACCCCTGGGACTGACAGGTAACTTCTAGCAAGCTTTCCAGACAGATAAAAATGCCATGCCTCTGGATTGTAAGATTTGAAGGTTCCATTGTGACTTACCTGAAACAAGAAAGTATTGACAAGAAATGTTAAACATCTTTGGTGCTGCTTTTGTCTTCCCTGTTGTGTGCCTTAGCTTTTGTTGCTTCTTTCTCTAGTTTTTTCTTTATTCCTGACAGTTTTTTAATGATGCACACAAACAGCTTCTGGGGTCCTGTGTTCCTTTGGTTTATCATTTTTAAAGGCTCATTGCATGTTGTAGTAGGATTGTCATTGCCCCAGAAGTCTGGAGACCAGAGGTTAGCACTGGCTTAGTTACTAAGAAGGAAGGGGGAGGAAGGGCTTAACATTATGGGAGCTTGTGTCAGGTTAACCCCCTCTGGCCCATGTTTCTTCATCTGTAAAGTAAAGAATTTAGACTAGAATTTGTTGTTCCTAACCAAAAATATCTAGGAGTTACTTGAATTGTTTGGTTTGGATTTTCTGTTAAAATACTGAGACCCAACCCCGACCTGAATTGCAAAGGTTATGGAAGTAGTTCGCATCCAGGGCAATTTTGTCTCCCAGGTTGGGTGACCAGTTCATCATGGTTTGCCCAGAACTTGACCAGTTTCAGCTTTGAAAGTCCAGCCTCTCATAAACCTTATCTGTCCCAGGAAAATCATGAGGGTTGGCCACCAACATTCTTGCTTGTCAGAACAGGGCAGTCTGCTGGCATCTTGTGGGGAGAGGTCGGGGTCACTGTGGAGTGTGCTCTAGTGTAAAGGACAGCCTCTCACAACAGAATTGTCCAGCCAACGTGTCAGTAGTGCCAAGGTTGACAATACCCGGGATGTGGCCAGTGCGTGTTGGAGTAGGGAGCTCCGGGGAGGGAGGAGGTGCTTCCCCTGCAGAGGAACTGCACCCCTGATATGTAGATCTAGTCTAACAGTGTGGCTGAATCTGACTATTTTGGGGAGAATAATAACTACTGTTTTGATTGACTTCTCACTATGTTTTTATTATCCTGAATGTTTTCTGTTTTTATTTCAGATTTCTTAAACACTTTATTTGAACTCTTGTCCCCACCACCACCCTTGGTTGGCATGTTCATTTCATACAAGTCCTTAGATTGTACTTCCTCTCTCAACCTTATTATTTTGTTACAGTATGGGCTCTGGACTTTAAATTAACAGCAGTGGAGACATTTTAAAAGTATAGGGTTTTGATCTTAACGTTACATAGGAATGGTTGGGAATTAGTTGTAATGGAAGAAGCTTTTCAAAGCTTGACTCCAACCTGGTAATGCTTTCAATCAGCAAAACTAATTTAGGCAGCTCGAGATACATTAACTATTAAAAATGATAAATTTGCTGATAATAAACTGTCTTCCATTTAGGAGCTTTTGAGGACACTTCATTTACTTCCCTATCTAATCTTGTCAACGAGAACACTCTGAAGGCAATAAAAGAAATGGGCTTTACGCACATGACTGAAATCCAACATAAAAGTATCAGGCCACTTCTGGAAGGCAGGTATGATTAACATTGATATTTAACTATGAGTATCTCTGTTTTTAGTGCTAGTGCTTTGGAAAGGAAGTACCCGTGTGTTCTGTTGATTCTTGCACTGTGTTGGTTTACATATCCCATCTCATTAAAGGCTTTAAGTTATTTTCTGGTGTTTGAAGAAAAGTGTTCACTTCTATTTCATAGCACAGTTCTTGTTCCTGAGGGGTTGATTTCAGGGATAGGGAAGGTAGGAACTTTGTCTTTCTTGATCCTGTTGTAGTCTTGGAGCCTAAAACATGTGAGTGTGCATGGTAGCTGTTGGGTAAGTACTTGCTGAATGAGATACTAAGTCTCCTTTTCCTTTTTAATCTTTAGGGATCTTCTAGCAGCTGCAAAAACAGGCAGTGGCAAAACCCTGGCCTTTCTCATCCCTGCAGTAGAACTGATTGTTAAGTTAAAGTTTATGCCCAGGAATGGTAAGCCTTTGATCCCATTGTTTCTTGCCATTGTCTCACTAGAAGTTTATTGCAGCAATTATGAGCTCATGGTGGTCATTACAGTTTGACTTTTTCCATATGTCATTTTTTGCCTTTTAGGAACAGGAGTTCTTATTCTCTCCCCTACTAGGGAACTGGCCATGCAGACTTTCGGCGTTCTGAAAGAGCTGATGACCCACCACGTTCACACATACGGGCTAATCATGGGTGGCAGCAACAGAGCTGCTGAAGCACAGAAGCTGGCTAACGGGATCAACATCATTGTGGCTACCCCAGGCCGTCTCCTGGACCACATGCAGGCAAGAGAACTGTTACGTAGTACCTGTCTCGTCTTGTGTGGCATACACTTGACAGCTAATAGTGTTTCTTTGTCCTTTGTCTTGTTAGAATACTCCAGGATTTATGTATAAAAACCTACAGTGTCTGGTGATTGATGAGGCAGATCGTATCTTGGATGTTGGTTTTGAAGAGGAATTAAAGCAAATTATTAAACTTCTGCCAAGTAAGTGGATAGCATCTGCATGTGGTTTGCAAAGTGGTGGTTAGAAACAGGTGAGGGGTGTTCCTGTCTGAACATTATGAATACCAGAATTGTATAGCCAAGTGAAGTAGCTGTACCAGTTGGCCTTAGAGGTAGTTTGCAATATAAGTATCAAACTTACTAGTAATATTGGTTTTGCCATGTTAGAGGTTTAATGCAAGTTAAACAGTCCAGGCGTATGTCTCATTGCCATCCGCCCCTGCCACCCATCTTACTTTCTCTTCCTCTGACATCTCCCAGGTAGCCATAGACTTACTGCCTTCTGTGTGATATTTGTCGTGCATGCCTTGGTTATAGTGCCTGTAACATTATTAACTGCATATATCTGTAATAAGGCCCTTATTCCATTCATTAAAAGATTTGTTTTTTTAATGTCTTACTGAAATATAATTGACATAATCTGTAAATATTTTAAGTATACAATTTGATAAATGTTGACATTCCTCACCTCAATATGGTGAACATCTCCATAACCCTCAAGTGTCCTCATGCACCTTTGTAACCCCTCAGCCTCAGTAGAGCAGCCCTCGCCTACATCCAACAGCTGCTCACACAGCACTCGCCCAGGCGGCTGGAGCTGCTTCCTGTCACTGTAGAGAGTGTGTCTTCCAGAGAGAAGGTTGCCATCTACAGCTCGTTCTTCACGGGCACAGATTTTCTTTTCTCTTGGGTAACTACTGAGGAGTGCAGTGGCCAGCATATTTGTACCATTTTACATTCCCATCAGCAGTGTATAGAAGTTCCAGTTCTATCTACTAAATCTTGGGATTAACTCCTAATTTTGTTCTTTTTCAAAATCTTTCTGGCTATTCTTGTCCTTTGCATTTCCATATAAATTTTACTATCAGTTTGTTAGTTTCTACTCCCTAAAAAAATCTGGTTGATTATGATTTAATTGACTATACATCATTGGTGGATATTGAGTCAATTGAACCCATGGATAAGGTATATCTCTATTTATTAGCTCCTTAATTTCTCTCAACAGTGTTTTCTGAGTACAAGTTTTTTCATATCATGTCAGATTTATCCCTCAGTATTTTATTAAAATTTCAATTTTAAATTGTTTGTTTATTGTATGTAAATATATAGTTGATTTTTGAATGTGTATTTTATGTCTGGCAAGGTAATTCTATGTTCATCTGGATTGTTCGGTATGATCCTTTAGCTGTAGCAGCCATTGGATTTTCTGCATAGACAATAATATCATCTACAAATTTTTAAAAAGTAAATTAAATTCTTCACTTATTTTTCTTGCCTGATTGCACTGGCGAGAACCTCCAGTACAATACTGAATAGAAATAGTGAGGCAAGCCTTGGCCGGTTTTGCTCAGCGGTTAGAGCACCGACCTGCGGTCCATAGAGACCCAGGTTCGGTTTCCGCTAAGGGCACGTACCTCGGTTGCGGTTTGTCCCCGGCCCTGGTTGGGTCATGCAGATGGCAGCCACTCGATGTGTCCCTTTCACGTCGATGTTTCTCTCTCTCCCCCGCCCACTTTATCTGAACAAAAAATGGATAAATATCCTCAGGTGAGGATTTAAAAAAAGAAAAAGAAATAGTGAGGCAAGCCCTGGCCGGTTTGGCTCAGTGGTAGAGCGTCGGCCCTCAGACAAATGAGTTGCGGGTTCAATTCTAGTCAAGGGCATGTACCTCGGTTGCAGTTTGTCCCCGCCCTGGTCGGGTTGTGCAGGAGGCAACCAGTCGATATGGCTCTATCACAACAATGTTTCTCTCTGTCTCTCTTCCTCCCTCCCACTCAATCTGATAATAAGTAGAAAAATATCCTCAGGTGAGGAATAAAAACAAACAAAAAGAAATATTGAGGCAAGATATCCTTGTCTTGTTCCTGATACTAGAGAGGAAAGCTTTCAGTGTGTCACCATAAAGTATGATGTTAGCTGTAGGCTTTTCTGTAAATGCCCCTTTTCAGATTGAGAGCGAGCCCTTTTGTTCCTGGTTTGCTGAGATTTTTAAAATCAGAAATAGATGTTACATTTTGTCAGAAGCTTCTTCTGTGTGTGTTGACATGACCTGATTTTTTTCTTTAGTTTGTTAATATAGTAAATTGTATTGGTTAATTTTCCAATGTTAAAGCATCCAACCTTGCATTTATGGAATAAACATGCATTATCCTTTTTATATATTGTTGGATTCACTTTGCTAAAGTTTTGTTTAGAAAGTTTGCATTTATGCTCATGAGTCCTTGTTGGGTTTTGGTTTTGGAGCAGTGGCTGGCTTCAAAGAATAAGTTGGGAAGTAAATTCTTTTTAGTGTCCTGGAGAGTTAAGTGGAGAATTGGTAATATTTCTTCCTTAAATGTCTGATAGAATTCACCATTGGAGACCATTGGGGCTGGAGTTTTCTTTACATAAAGATTTTAAGCACAATTTCTTTCATAGATACAAGGCTATTCAAGTTTTCTGTTTCTTTTTGAGTGAGCTTTAGCAGTTAGTCTTTCAAGGAAATTGTTCATCTCATCTAAGTTGTCAGGTTTATGAACATGAAGTTGTTCGTGATACTTCCTTAATGTCAGGTGATGCCGCATCTCCACTCCTGCTAGTTCTGCTTAGGAGCATTTGTAGTTGTGAAGCAGTTCTAAGGATTCCCTGAAAGTTTTCACATGTGTCTGTTTCAGCACGCAGACAGACCATGCTCTTCTCTGCCACACAAACTCGGAAAGTTGAAGACCTGGCGAGGATTTCTCTGAAAAAGGAGCCATTGTATGTCGGTGTTGATGATGATAAAGACAATGCAACAGTGGATGGTCTCGAGCAGGTATTGTTGTCAGCACCTTAGATTGTAAGAGTTTTTGTTTTGGGGGTTTTTTTGAAGGGTGTTTTCTTGTAATTGGAGTATCCTCGAGAAAGCAGGTGAGTTATTGAGCTCTTAATCCAAATATAGTGAACTTGGGTGTTGGGTCTCTGGCTCTCCTGATGGAAATTATCTTGAACTCTGAATAATTTATATATATATTTTTTTATCCTCACCCGACGACTTTTTTGCATTTATCTTCAAACAGTGGGAGGGAATGAGGGGACAAGAGAGAGAGAAACATCAATGTGAGAAACACATAAACTGGTTGCCACCCACACGACCCCAACCAGGCCAGGGACGAACCACAACGAGGTACGTGCCCTTAGCAGGAACCGAACCCGGGACTCTCTGGTCTGAGGGCCGACGCTCTAACCGCTGAGCCAAACCGGCCAGGGCAACGCTGAATAATTTAATTGGCTCTCTTTACTGTCTTTTAATACTATTTGTCACATAGGAAACGTCATTAACCATTACTGTTTTTTGATGCAGTAAAAAAATGTTCTCGTTTAATAGTCTCTGGCTCTGAGAGGTGAATTAGGAGGTGGAGAGACTCATTTCCGGCACATAGCTATGGAAAATTGGAAATGAGGGGACAAAGATCCAAACTAGGTTGATTAAAAATAGAACTTTAAAATCCAGTCTTTGGGTGAATAAAATATTTCCTATAACATGTTAGCTTTAAAACTTTTCATTGGTTTTTGGTTTTAAAAAACACATTCACCCAGCTTTGTTATCTTTTTAGGACTGTGCACTTAATGTGTGGCTAATTGAGATCTTGCTATTAAAGATCTTTCAAAAAATGAATCATTGATATATCTTGAGAGTTCCAGTTGGAACAAGTGTTAATATATTATGATTACAAAAACTGTTGATAACCAGTAATTTCGGAAATATGAAAAGAATTCAGTGTCTAGTGATTACAGCCTATTAAAGGAATCGAAGGAATGTAACTCGTCCGTTTTAGGAATGTAAAGCGTGACAGCATTCCGTGTGTCCTGTGCTCTCGTCACGTCACCGCTCACGCACCTCTGTTCATTTGAACTACTTCCAGGGATATGTTGTTTGTCCGTCCGAAAAGAGATTCCTCCTGCTCTTTACGTTCCTTAAGAAGAACCGGAAGAAGAAACTAATGGTCTTCTTCTCATCTTGTATGTCTGTGAAGTACCACTATGAGCTGCTGAACTACATCGATTTGCCTGTCTTGGCCATTCATGTAAGTGATTATGAAAAAGTAGTTAAAAGCAAGTTGTGCTTATCAAGTTGTATAGACTATGGGGTTTGAGGTCTGTCTCTCCTCTAAACAGAGGTCAGTCAACACTGGGTGATGGTCCTGTGTGGAGGGAGCTTTGCTGGGTGTTGAGTGAGAACCACAAAGGAATAGGAAATGCGTCTGCTTGGGAAAACGGCACAGGCCAGGGGGTGAGCTTAAAATAAAGTGGGTTCACAGTTGCACATTTGGGGGTTCTGCATCTAGACCTTCCAGAAACAGCCTCAAGTTGCCAGCTCTAATGGATATTTTGATTTGATTCTAGGGAAGACAGAAGCAAAATAAGCGTACAACCACGTTCTTCCAGTTCTGCAATGCGGACACGGGGATACTGTTGTGCACAGACGTGGCCGCTAGAGGGCTGGACATTCCTGAAGTCGACTGGATTGTTCAGTATGACCCTCCAGATGACCCCAAGGTAAAGGGCATCCTTGGGGTGTGTCAGAATGGCTCAGGATTGAGGAACGTAGTTACTCTCCAGGTTCCCTGAGCAATACCACATTTCACATTCAAAGGTTTATTCCTTAGTTATGCAAGTCGTGCTTTATTAAGCACAGTGACTTCGCAGTATTTCTCTGTTGCTGATAGTACTTAGGGCTTTTGCAGGACCCAAAGTAGGGGTATGTAAGAAGATTTTAGAGGTGGCAGTGGGACTTAAGTTAGGAATGTTACATGCTCGGAATGATTTGTTAAGAGCAGGTGTCAGAAAATAAAATTTGTTTACAGAGGTAGATAAGACTAGTATACGTAGTAAAGTAAGTTTATTAAGTTTTTTTCAGCAATCAGTGGATTATATATATTGTCAGCTGGCATTTCAACATGTTTCAAAAAGCTGTTTTGAGGACAAAGCATGTTTACTGGTCATTTTATTAGCTCATAGAGTTAATATGAATAGCATTCCAGCTTTCTTTGGCCTCAGCCATCTTCTGTTGCCTCTTTGGGGGTGGTACGTGCAGAAGGAATGGTGGGCTTGCTTGCGGAACAGCCCTGGGGGAGGGGCGCCATTCATGGGATGTGCTGACGTGCTTTGCCCACTACCGTGCGAGTGCGAGTGCGAGTGCGAGTGCTGGGGTCCAGGCTGCCACGCGCCTGTGCGAGTCAGCGTGAGCTCAGGCGCGCTCTCCACCTAGGAGTACATCCATCGCGTGGGAAGGACGGCCAGAGGCCTGAATGGGAGGGGTCACGCCTTGCTCATCCTGCGCCCTGAAGAGTTGGGTTTCCTTCGCTACTTGAAGCAATCCAAGGTAAAGATCTCTGCTGCTGCTGAAAGATACTAAGTTGGGAACACATGCCTCTTTTTTAAAGTTTTTTTTTTTCTTTATTGATTATAGAGAGAAAGGAAGGAAGAGGGAGTGAGAGGTAGAAACATCAATGAGAGAACATCGGTTGACCACCTCCTGCATGCCCCCCACTGGGAACTGGGCCCACAACCCGGGCGTGTGTCCTGACCAGAAATTGAACCAGCGACCTCTTGGTCCATGGGTCAACGCTCAACCTCTGAGCCACACCTGCCGGGCACAGATGCCTCTTTGTAGGCATTGTGCAGATGGCGTTAAGCACTGTTTCTGGAGGTGTCCAGGGAGTCAGGAGTCATCACAGTACTATCAGAACAGTTGTTACAGAGGTTAAACAAGAGTTTGTGTGGGTCTTGCCCAGGAAATGTGAACAGAAACAGCTACCCACATGGCTAATCCTTGAGCAATTGGTCAGCAGTACCTCGGTGTCCCTCGCCTCTCTTCTACCAGTCCCCACAGCCTGTTTGAAACCACCTGCACTCCTGTTAACCCCTCGCCCTGGTCATCTCTGCCTCCTGCTCCCCTCCCTGCATCCTTCTCTGCATCTTGTTTTCCTGGTGCCTGCCCGGCGTGGTGTGGATCCTCATTCACTCCTGCCTCTCCCTCCCCCCGTCCATCCATTGGGTCACTTCCGTCTCTCCCGTGCACTTAGCTCTTTACCATCTCAAGTCTTTCACTAAGAGAAATAACTTCAGCCTAAACCCTCTTCTACCGCCACCTCCAGCCTGGCTGCTGCATTACCTGTCTTCAGTCTGCCATTTGGAAACGTGGTTTCTATCTGCTCCGTTTGTTCTGCTTCACCCTGTTGTCCACCCCACCCTAGTCTGACTTTGGCTTCATCCTATCCTACCAGACCGAATTTGTTAGAATTGGAAGTGGCCTCTTTGCTGGGTCTTGTGAATACCAGGCAGGCCTTCTCGTCCCGGACATTTGCCTCCTTGTTGGATTCCCCAGCACAATCTTGCCAGGTGCGTTTTCTTCCGTCAGCAACTAGGTGCAACTCTCAGAAATGGCCATGCAGACTTGGCACTTTTTCTCTGGAATGGCCTCCTCCTGGTTTCAGCTAGCTGCTGCTGTCTCTTCTGGGGAGCCGGCCCTGACCTGCCTGCCCTCACGTTCCACAGCAGGCGTGTCACTGAGTTGTCTCATCACTTATCTGTCTGCTCCTAAGACTGCAGGCCCTCTGAGGGCCGGGTCCATGGCTGGGCAGCTGTTGTCCCCCCCAGCGCCTGGCACAGGTCTGGCACTCTTCCATCCTCTCATCCGTGATGGCTGGTAAGAGATCCCTCCTGTAGGAGTTTGTGGTCATCGTGACCTCTGGTGTCGCCCTGCAGTCCGAGGGCAGTGTTGTGGCAGGGCAGCCTCCCGACATGGGGAGGCGAGCTAGTGGTCCTTCGACTGGGAGCTTCCGGCTGCTTCGTCCCCGTTGACCCTGTTTAGAGAATAGGGCCTCACTGACTCGGGCCTGGGAAGCTGCCCCCCTCTTCTCAGCTGTCTGTAGGACAGTGCTCACTTTCACTTTGTCCTCGTCTGAACATGTGACTGCGGAGCCCTCCCAGTCTACTAAACGCCATGCTTCTGTTTTCTAGGTTCCGTTAAGTGAATTTGAGTTTTCCTGGTCCAAAATTTCTGACATTCAGTCTCAGGTATGCTGTTGGTTGGCAGTCTCAGCCTCACCCTGGCATTGCCTGTGTGGTGTGTCCGGGCCGCCGTCGTTCCTGCCGCAGGGAGAAGGGTGGGCGGTGTCAGTCAGGCGTCTGGCTGTGCTCTGTCGTTTCGGGCCAGGCCATACAGGGACGTTGTGATTATTCTTACTGCGGCATGATTTTGCGATATTACAAAGCTTGGAACAAGTGTACTGGGACAAATGTTTTCATAGGACAGTTTTTTTTAATACATATGAAATCTGCTGTTCTATTAAATCGATGTTTCTTTCCATTTCAGCTTGAAAAATTGATTGAAAAGAACTACTTCCTTCATAAGTCAGCCCAGGAAGCATATAAGTCATATATTCGAGCATATGATTCCCATTCTCTGAAACAGATCTTTAATGTTAATAACTTGAATTTGCCTCAAGTTGCTCTGTCATTTGGTTTCAAGGTGCCTCCTTTTGTTGATCTGAGTATCCTTTCCTTTGTTGTTAGGAGTTCATGCGGGAGTTAGGGGGCAGAAGCTGCAGTGGGCAGTGGGGCTTGGCACTGGGTGGGCATGGGCTCCGGCTGGGGCTGGAGGAATGGTGTTCGGCCTGGGGACTGCGTGGCGGTGGGCAGGCGCTAGTGGTGGGAGTGAGGATGGCAGAAGCGAGGCAGGTTATGACTTGGGCCTGGAAAAGCCAAAGGGATTTGACTTGTAGACAGAGCAGTGGAGGGTGTGCAGTCTGGAGAGAAGCACAGGGCTTTGCAGGGCTCGGGCTGCTGGGAGGCTGCACTGAGGTCTGGAGGGCAGGACACCCTGAAGGTGAAGAGAAGACAACCTTTCCGAGAGCTCCTGTCCCCTCGGCGCCCTCCAGGGATGTCGTACAAGGGAGCTGCGAGATCAGCAAGAGAAAACAACACTTAAGTGCTACTCAGGACAAATGGCAAAGGGAGAATCTCCAGTTGCTTCTGTTGCAGTTTATAACGAGGTTTATTACCACATTTTCAACGGAAGAAACAAGCAGCTAAAGAGAGGCCGCTCATGAACACTGCGGTGTTGGGAGAAAACCAGCCTGGGGTTGCCGTCCCCGCAGCGGGCGCTGAGTAAAGGCCTCCATGCTGAAGCATGGGGAGCAGCCCGCTTGCTTAGGCGTGCCTGCATCGGCCGGACGCAGGTGCGGGTCGTTCGTCTTGACGCGGACTCGTTTTGCGTTCCTGTGAACATCCTGATTTACCTCTTCACTTCTTAAAATTGTCTTGCGTTTATTGTGTGGAGAAAATAATTAATGACTAATACACTAGGCTTAAAATCATACCTGCTAATTTTAGTCCACAGTCACGTGGACACTTAATCTCCTGGAAGTGTGTTGCGTAGGCTCATGTTTCTGTTGTTCTGGGAGGGATTGTGGTGGAGAGACAGCGTGTGCATGCTGCTTGATTTCCTTAACCTGCACCTTTAGACGTGAACAGCAATGAAGGCAAGCTGAAAAAGAGAGGAGGAGGAGGTGGATTCGGCTACCAGAAGCCCAAGAAAGTCGAGAAGTCCAAAATCTTCAAGCACATTAGCAAGAAGTCTTCGGACAGCAGGCAGTTCTCGCACTGACAGCTGTCCGTCGTCCAGGGCTGAGTGCTGAGAGGATTGGCTCTCCGAGCTCTGACAACGGAATTGTTGGCTGTAGGGTCGGGACTGGCCGAGCAAGTGTAAATGGACGTGGGTTGCAAGTGCTGAGCACTGATACTTCCTTCAAGTCTCATTTGTTTCAGGTTGAAAACGAGATCAATTTTTCTTCTTTCCCAAGGACAAAGCAAAGGGATCTTTTGGTCTCTGTTGTGATTATAGAATATTTTAAGGTTAAGTTTTTTTTTTCCTCTCTCATTTTGTCATTTTTGTACCTTTTCTTCTGGTGTCTGAAGATTTTTGCGGCATGGATTGCTATAGCAGCCTGCTGAAAAGGACAGGTGGCCCAGGACACTGGACAGAGGTGGCGTGGTGGTGACTGCTGGATGCTGTCTCAGTTTATTTTTGTTCTTTTTTGTTGTTTTTTGGACCTTAATGGTAGTTCTTGACGCCTCCTGAAAATGCCGCCATGTAAAGGGCAGGGGGCTTTTGGAAATACGTGAGCAGCACCTTCACCTAAAGGCAGCATTGATTTTTTCACATGTGCCAGATTTTAAAACAGCCTTTTTCCCTTTTATTGTTTTAAGAGCAAGAAATAAGAGTTGTGATTTGAGTAAATGCCCCTAGCAGTTGTGCCTGGGGAAGAGAGGGAAGATTTCTGAGCCTCATTTACACCAAGGCAGGTGTAACAGTCTGCTGTCCTCTGTGTGGTGACCAAAGACCTAAAAAAAAATGGGTGTGTAGCGTGGTGGTGACATGCCTCCTGCAAACTTGCTTAGGTGGTTTGGGTTTTAGTGAGCCCTTCCAAGTCTGCAATGCTTAGGCAGAGCGTCCTTGTGAGAAAAATGCTGCCTCTTCCAGATCCGTGAAACATGTCGTGGGAGCTCGTGATCTGTTTTGTTTTATTTCCAGGGTGTTTCATAACTACAAATGGTTAGGACATGTAGCAGTTTGAAACCAAAGTTGCTGGCGTTGTTTTGCTGTTGTGCCCGTTAATGTTTGTAGACTTTGTTAAATACGAGTACACTGAGAACATGAGGTGGGGAGAAAACAGTCTGTCGCGGAGACTCCCAGGAGAGGAAGGAGTGACGTTCTGCAGCCAGCTCACTCGGTCGCTGGAGCGCCCCTGTCTGGGTCAGACCTGGATTGTCAAGTCCTGGATTTAACAACTTGATCTTGTAACCGGTTTTTCTTTGTTTCAGAAATAATCACGTTTCAAAAAATATACAAAAGCAAAGGGATGAATATTTAATCACTGAACAGAAGTAAAGACTGTGCCTATTTTGGTATATAACCTTCCAGTGTTTTATATACCCATTTTTAATTTTTTTATCAAAAGTGAGATCCTCTGCCCACTCTTTGTGACCAGCTTATTTCATACCGTTATTTTCTCGTGTCATTAAATAATCACATCAGTTTTGTGTTAATATCCTTTGTTAGCCTTGCTCGGTCTGCCTGGATTTGGGTTCTGGACACCTGCTTGTCCCAGACCGCTCTCTGTCTCAGCACGTCTGAGAGCAGGTAGAACGATGGTTTCTGCTACAATAGGACTTGTTTCAGGTGCTTCCTGAGAGCCTGTGTGGGATTCTCCGGGCTACGGACATGCGGGGAGCCGGTGCCAGGTGAGACAGGGTCGGGGCAGCGGCCTCTGCAGGGCGTACTCACAGGTCAGTAGTGGCCTGGTCTGCAGACCCGCGCTGCTCTGCTCGGCCCCAAACCAGGGCAGGTCCCGTTTGCAAAGCGACTCCGAGGCGGTGAGGGAGGCTTTCCTGCTTTCCCAGGAGGGACAAGCGAGCACCGGGGCCCGGGGCCCTAACAGTGCTGGCGGTGCAGGGCGAGGCCCTGATGCTCCAGTGAGGACGGCTTCCTGGCAGATTTGCTAGAGGAGAGTAAAGACTCCGTGTGGCCTCAGCTTTTTTCAGATAACATGTATTTTAGTTTTACTAAGAGCAAGACGCTGGGGGTGCAGGGGTGATTCGTTCCAATCTCGAAGCTTACTGTGAGGGAGATGAGAGGTGGGAGAACAGCACTGAAAAGGAAGGAACCATCTGCAAGGGCCAGATGGTGGAGACTAGCTTTGGGAAGGTGACGTCAGAGCTGGGTCTTGCCTGGAGCCAAGTGGGTGAAAGAGGGGAGACGGGGTGTCCGGGCACCCAGAGCAGCAGGAGCAATGGAGCAGCCTGGGTCACTGTGAACTGCAAGAGGCCCCGTGGAGCGCTCTGGGCCGCATAGGGTCCCGGAACTGGCGCGGTGCCCTGAGCATCTCGGAAATAGTAGCTGCTGTTGCCCAAGCATGATGTCTCCTTTGGAAGGCACAACGCACAGAAACAAGGCCAGGAAGCCGAGCAGCGAGGTCCGAATTGGGTTTGTAGTAAAAGGGAATACAATGTCCGGTGTGCGTTGAGATTCATTCTGGCTAATGTTTAGGGTGGAGAGAATCGGGAAACTGGAATCTGAGAGGGAAGGAGGAACAGATGTGAGCCACCTCGTGACACCACCAGTCCAGGTGCGACCGCTGGCGGCTGCTGTGCTGGGGGTGGGGCAAGAGAAGAAGGCAAGAGAATGTGAAGACGGGAAAGATGGGGTGGTGGAGAGAAAGGTGGTCCCATTAGCAGGTACAAAGAAACTGATGTGTAGCCTTGAGAGTGTAACGACTTCACTCACTTCCCTTCTCCAATACAAGATAATCCCTGCCTAGGAATGAAACAGCTCAGCAAATATAAAGCAGTTTTTGCACAGGGAGGACTAGACAAGTGTTAGTCCTTTGTCTCATTATGAAAAAGGCTGTCTTAACGTCTTTTAATTTTATCATGAGGCTAAGCTTTACTTATTGGCCAGTTGATCAGTGTAGATACAAGTATTTTCAAAGCCTCCAATTTAAATTCCTTACAGACCATTTTTGTACTTTGTGCTTATATCTATCTCATGTTGCAATTTTTAATGACTTTTTAAAAATATTTGAGAGAGGAAGCAGAGTGGAGAGTGAAAGAAACAGTGACTCTTTGCTTCACTTTTTTATTGGTTGATTCTTGTATGTACCTTGACGGTATTGAACCTATAACCACGGTGTATCAAGACGATGTTCTAACCAACTGAGCTACCCAGCCAGGGCTCGCTCTTTTGTCTCTCTGTCCAGATGAGTGGTTCTCAATAGGGATTGGTTTTTGTCTCACGGGACATTTGGCAATGTCTGGAGACATTTTTGGTTGTCACGACTGGGGGAGGATTGCAACTAGCACCTTGTGGTCAAGGCCAGGGATGTTGCCAACCATCCATCCCACAGTGCAGAGGACAGACCCCCCACATCAGAATTATACAGCCCAAATGTCAATAGTGTCAAGACTGGGGAACCTTGATCTAGACAATCCTTGAATACATGGATAAGAAAAACGTAGACAAATGAGACTTTCTCAAACATAATTTGAAATTTCAGGAGTCAATTATTGGGGGAAAAAATGGAAGTTCATGAATTTATCATCTTCAGCGCAATGATATTGTCAAATATTCTTGCTTCCCAAACCCCAGGAGCTGCCTGGTCTCTGACTTAGACAGCCACTTTGTGTTACTTGCGACCAGGGTTCCTTAATGGAGAAGAGGTTGAAAGAAGTAGAGTAAGACAGTAGAGAGATAGGAGAACCAAAATAATGACCTGATATAGAAGCCATAGTAAATTTGTATCATTTTTTTAAGGAAAAATAGCAAGTATTCAATCTCCTTTCTATTTGTGGATGTTGCAAAAACTGTCCCCTAAGTCCATTTCGCCCTTCTCAGGTGCAGAGCCACTGATACTAACTTGGCACATGGGTGCCCAGAATAAGACAACCTTGTTCAGCCTCCCTTGCAGCTAAGTGTGACTGTGCAACTAAGTTCTGGCCAATGAGATGTCGGAGAGAGAGAAACATTGATGTGAGAGAGAAACATCAATTGGTTGCCTCCTACACGTGCCCCACCTGGGGATGGGGATCAAACCTGCAACCCAGGTATATGCCCCTGACCGAGATCAAATCTGCAACGCTTCGGTGCATGGGCCAATACTACTCCAACCATTGAACCACACTGGTCAAGCCTCCAACAGCTGTTTTGCTAGATGAGTTCAACTGTCAAATTGTCCAGGAAACAGAAAATTCTCCGCTGGACCATACAGGCATTTAGGAGACTTGAAAAAGAAACAAAAAACAGGGAAGCAAGAAAATACTCCTTGACAAGATCATCTGGGAAGTGAAAAGCTATTTGTAACTCTTTTTTTTTTTTTTTTTTTATCCGCACCTGAGGACATTTTTCCATTTTTTGTTCAGGTAGAGTGGGAGGGAGAGAGAGGAACAGAGAAAGAGAGAAACATCGATGTGAAAGGGACACATCGAGTGGCTGCCACCCACACGACCAACCAGGGCCGGGGACAAGCTGCAACCGAGGTACATGCCCTTAGCGGGAACCAAACCCGGGTCTCTGTGGACCGCAGGCCGACGGTCTAACCGCTGAGCCAAACCGGCCAGGGCTGAAAAGCTATTTGAATTGAGAGCTTCATAAACCAAATTGTGAGCTCCTATAAAGCAGCTTAAATTCAGTTGTCTTATGTTTTATTTCCTTCTTTTGTACATGATTTAAATTTTCCAAAAACATTTAAATAAAAAATAGTAAGCCCTGGCCGGTTTGGTTCAGCAGTTACAGCGTCGGCCCACGGTCCAGAGGGACCCAGGTTCGGTTCCCATTAAGGGCACATACCTCGGTTGCAGTTTGTCCCCAGCCCCAGTTGGGGTTGTGCAGGAGGCAGCCACTTGATGTGTCCCTTTCACATCGATGTTTCTCTCTCTCCCTCTCTTCCTCTCCCTCCCACTCTATCTGAACAAAAATGGAAAAATGGGTTCGGGTGAGGATAAAAATAAATAAAACAGTAGACCATAAACAAAAGAAATAGAGCTAGTTTATTTAAATTACTGCAAAGGAAGTGAAAAGAAATAAATTCTGCAATTAAAAATTAAAACCCTGGCCGGTTTGGCTCAGCGGTTGGAGCGTTGGCCTGTGGTCCGGAGAGACCTGGGTTCGGTTCCCGCTAAGGGCACGTACCTTGGTTGTAGTTTGTCCCCGGCCCTGGTTGGTCGTGTGGGTGGCGGCCACTCGATGTGTCCCTTTCACGTCGATGTTTCTCTCTCTCTTCCTCTCCCTCCCACTCTATCTGAACAAAAAATGTCCTCGGGTGAGGATAAAAAATAATAATAATTAAGTACAAACCACAATGAGATACCCACTCATGCCTACTAAGATGTGCATGGTTTTAAAAATGGGAAGTAACAAGTGTTGAGGGAAATGTGGGAAGACTAACTCGTACAGTGCTGGTGGAATGTAAAGTGGCTCAGCTGCTGTGGGAACAGTCCTGTGGTTCCTCAGTAAATTCCACAGAATTACCACGTGGCTCAGCAATCCACTCCTAGGTGCATATCCAAAGGAATTGAAAACGGACTGTCACATGCCTATATCCATAGCAGCTCTATTCACAGTAGCCAAAGGGTGGAAACAAGCCACGTGTCCATCAACAGATAAATGGTTAAACAAATGTAGCTTACACATTTCAATGGAGTATTATCCAGCTATGAAAAGAAATGACCTTTTGTTACTTGCCTTGTCCCACCTGAGTCCAAGCACCCTTCACGCCCATTTGCACCAGTGAAACTGCCACCCAACTGGTGTCCTTCCTCCGATTTAGTCCCACTGCTAACCCAACTGCTGGAAAAGTAATACTGGCAAAGACACAGACCTGGTGGGGGGCAGGATGGTGGCACATGTCCAGGTACCTTCTCTCGAGCTCCCAGGAGGAGACAGTGCAAGTGCAATGGAACAGTCATCAAATGCTCCTAAAACCACGTATGGTGAAGCCTTTACACGTGTGGTGTTCTACTTTACAGCAAAGAGAAATCTAGCAGATTTTTTATAAAGATATGTTTTTATTGATTTTTAGAGAGAGAGGGAGGGAGAGGGAGAGATAGAAACATCGAGACAGAAACATCGATCAGCTGCCTCTTGCACACTCCCTACTGGGTTTCGGGCCACACCTGGGCACGGGCCCTGACCGGGAATCGAATTGGGACCTCTGGGTGCATGGGTCGATGCTCAACCTCTGAGCCACACTGGCTGGGCTAGCAAATTTTTTTTTCTTTTAATAAGTAAAATCAGTAGTGATTTTCAATTATTAGCATCAAGTATTACTATGAAATCTCTGCTCAACTGGCCCCACAGTAATTAGGGTCACCCTTACAGACATATCATCCATTGTGGGCTTCTTCTGCTTCAGTATGCCCAGCCGTTCCTCCTGTGGGTACTGGACCCTCAGCCTGGCTGCCAACATTCTCCCATGTCTGACACCACCTGCTTACCCACACAGTATTTGTAGCTCCCTCCCACCCTCCAACCACGTCAGCTTTGCCCACATAAAACTGCTATTTCACAAATTAGGGATGGTCATTCTCAAATCACCTGACCAATTCCTTCTACCTAAAGTGTCCCATGTTTTTCTCCTTTTCAAATTCTATCAAGAAGTCCCAGCTCTCACTCCACCTCCCCCGGGAAGCCTCCCCTCACTGCTATTGCCCAGTGATGC